ATGATGGTGTCAGTTTGTGTGTGTGTGACAGTGTGTGTGTTGGCATCTTCACTATTTACAACTCCACAGAAAAAGCATGACTGTGCCAGACTGTTTTGTTGGACTTTCATCGACTGATCAGGAGGTCGAACCCCAACAGTCCGTGCAGGATGACTGATGGGTAAGAAGCAATAAGAAGTTTCAGAACTCACCACGCCGCCGACAGTTAAGCGATACCCAGGTCGACTTAACTCACACCAACCCTGTTATCCCCGAGTTTGCAATACCCCCGAGCCAGCATCAATTCGCAAGACATCATGAAATGCCTAAGCTGAGGCAGCACGCCCTTTTGTAGTGTCTGTGTCTGCCTTGTCCCAGTGTGTAGTAAACTTTGCTATGCCCTTGGATCGTGCGTGATCTGTGGCCAAGGTGACTTGTGGGAAAATGTGTGAGTCTTGATCTACAGTGGCCGGGGCTTGGCCTGACTGCGGCTTTTGTCAGGGCTACCGGTAGTTACGAGAATCAAGTGCTAAGTCGCACTACAACACACCGCAGAGTCAAGACGTAGTCAAGACACACACGCGACATGAAAGATGTAGACGAAGAGACAAGAAACAGACACAACTCCGAGCGAATTTTTTCCGGGTTCTTGAGGTACTTTTCGAGTCCCTGTACCTCACTCCATGCTGGACCTGAGAGACGTCTCAGATGAGTCCTCACCTTTCAGCGGAATCGCCGGAGTCGGCGGAAGTACAGGTGGGGTAGGACGAAAGGAGGACGCATATTCTTATCCACATCATCCTAGAAATTATCTAATCAGCAATTAATCAGACCTGCCAATGTTTACAGACTCGAACAATCCAATCTATCAGAAATGTTTTTTTTTTTTTTTTTTTTTTTTTTTAATTAATTATATTTAATACTGACGAGTTGATAATCATACATGTTGAATTCACCATTGATTGAAATTTGCAACATGAGTTTTCTGCTGATGGCTGCTTGTACTGTCATTCGTGGCTGTGATTAAAAAAAA